TTTACTGAAAACTCGATCCTGGAATGAACCGGTCCGTCGCCAATCATCACGCCGCGGCGTATAAAACGAGTACTCAAAATGTAACGGATTGCTTGGCGCTGCTGCCGTCAACAGCTCCAACACGACAACAACAACTCCACACAACAGCAACACGACAACAACAACAACAACACGACAATAACATCTCCAACACGACAACAACTCCACACAACAACATCTTAACATCTCCAACACGACAACAACAACTCCACGCAACAACAACAACTGCAACACGACAACAACAACAACAACATCTCCAACACAACAACAACAAACTGCGAGCGAGAATAAAAGACGTGAAGAGGCGACGACGTTCACAGGAGATCGATTGATCCACCTCCTCCTTGTGACGAGCCTCGTGCCACTCGTTTGCTTGAATTCCCACATCGGTGGCCCGAATGAAGTTGTCCGGCCCTCGTGATGGTGGTGATGGTGGTGGTGATGGTGGTGATGATGGTGGTGGTGATGGTGGTGGTGATGGTGGTGGTGATGGTGATGATGGCCATCGTCGCCACCCGCAGCAGGCATGGTCTATCCACTGCTGCATGAAGGCCTCCACCACCCCCCCGCACCCAGAGCCATCTCCACCACTCACACAGTCCCGGAATCGGTTTGCTTTGTGCAAGTCTCCAGACCCCGCCCTTCACTCTCCAAACCCCGCCCTTCTCTCTCCAGACCCCGCCCTTCACTCTCCAGACCCCGCCCTTCACTCTCCAGACCCCGCCCTTCACTCTCCAGACCCCGCCCTTCTCTATCCAGACCCCGCCCTTCACTCTCCAGACCCACCGCCCTCACTCTCCAGACCCCGCCCTTCACTCTCCAGACCCCGCCCTTCACTCTCCAGACCCCGCCCTTCACTCTCCAGACCCCGCCCTTCACTCTCCAGACCCCGCCCTTCACTCTCCAGACCCCGCCCTTCTCTCTCCAGACCCCGCCCTTCACTCTCCAGACCCGGCCCTTCACTCTCCAGACCCCGCCCTTCTCTCTCCAGACCCCGCCCTTCACTCTCCAGACCCTGCCCTTCTCTCTCCAGACCCGGCCCTTCACTCTCCAGACCCCGCCCTTCACTATCCAGACACCGCCCTTCTCTCTCCAGACCCCGCTCTTCACTCTCCAGACCCCGCCCTTCACTCTCCAGACCCCGCCCTTCACTATCCAGACCCCGCCTTCACTCTCCAGACCCCGCCCTTCACTATCCAGACCCCGCCCTTCACTCTCCAGACCCCGCCCTTCACTCTCCAGACCCGCCCTTCTCTCTCCAGACCCCGCCCTTCTCTCTCCAGACCCCGCCCTTCTCTCTCCAGACCCGCCCTTCACTCTCCAGACCCCGCCCTTCACTCTCCAGACCCCGCCCTTCTCTCTCCAGACCCCGCCCTTCACTCTCCAGACCCGCCCTTCACTCTCCAAACCCCGCCCTTCACTCTCCAGACCCCGCCCTTCACTCTCCAGACCCCGCCCTTCACTCTCCAGACCCCGCCCTTCACTCTCCAGACCCCGCCCTTCTCTCTCCAAACCCCGCCCTTCTCTCTCCAGACCCCGCCCTTCTCTCTCCAAACCCCGCCCTTCTCTCGCCAGACCCCGCCCTTCACTCTCCAGACCCCGCCCTTCACTCTCCAGACCCCGCCCTTCACTCTCCAGACCCCGCCCTTCCCTCTCCAGACCCCGCCCTTCTCTCTCCAAACCCCGCCCTTCCCTCTCCAAACCCCGCCCTTCACTCTCCAGACCCCGCCCTTCTCTCTCCAGACCCCGCCCTTCACTCTCCAGACCCCGCCCTTCACTCTCTAGACCCCGCCCTTCTCTCTCCAGACCCCGCCCTTCTCTCTCCAGACCCCGCCCTTCACTCTCTAGACCCCGCCCTTCTCTCTCCAGACCCCGCCCTTCTCTTTCCAAACCCCGCCCTTCACTCTCCAAACCCCGCCCTTCTCTCTCCAGACCCCGCCCTTCTCTCTCCAGACCCCGCCCTTCACTCTCCAGACCCCGCCCTTCACTCTCCAGACCCCGCCCTTCACTCTCCAGACCCCGCCCTTCTCTCTCCAGACCCCGCCCTTCACTCTCCAGACCCCGCCCTTCTCTCTCCAGACCCCGCCCTTCTCTCTCCAAACCCCGCCCTTCACTCTCCAAACCCCGCCCTTCACTCTCCAGACCCCGCCCTTCACTCTCCAGACCCCGCCCTTCTCTCCAGACCCCGCCCTTCTCTCTCCAGACCCCGCCCTTCTCTCTCCAGACCCCGCCCTTCACTCTCCAGACCCCGCCCTTCACTCTCCAGACCCCGCCCTTCTCTCTCCAGACCCCGCCCTTCTCTCTCCAGACCCCGCCCTTCTCTCTCCAGACCCCGCCCTTCTCTCTCCAGACCCCGCCCTTCACTCTCCAAACCCCGCCCTTCTCTCTCCAGACCCCGCCCTTCTCTCTCCAGACCCCGCCCTTCTCTCTCCAAACCCCGCCCTTCACTCTCCAAACCCCGCCCTTCACTCTCCAAACCCCGCCCTTCACTCTCCAGACCCCGCCCTTCACTCTCCAGACCCCGCCCTTCTCTCTCCAGACCCCACCCTTCTCTCTCCAGACCCCGCCCTTCTCTCTCCAGACCCCGCCCTTCACTCTCCAGACCCCGCCCTTCTCTCTCCAGACCCCGCCCTTCACTCTCCAAACCCCGCCCTTCTCTCTCCAGACCCCGCCCTTCACTCTCCAGACCCCGCCCTTCACTCTCCAGACCCCGCCCTTCTCTCTCCAGACCCCGCCCTTCACTCTCCAAACCCCGCCCTTCTCTCTCCAGACCCCGCCCTTCACTCTCCAGACCCCGCCCTTCACTCTCCAGACCCCGCCCTTCTCTCTCCAGACCCCGCCCTTCTCTCTCCAGACCCCGCCCTTCTCTCTCCAGACTCCGCCCTTCTCTCTCCAGACTCCGCCCTTCACTCTCCAACCCCGCCCTTCTCTCTCCAGACCCCGCCCTTCTCTCTCCAGACCCCGCCCTTCACTCTCCAAACCCCGCCCTTCTCTCTCCAGACCCCGCCCTTCTCTCTCCAGACCCCGCCCTTCACTCTCCAAACCCCGCCCTTCTCTCTCCAGACCCCGCCCTTCACTCTCCAGACCCCGCCCTTCTCTCTCCAGACCCCGCCCTTCACTCTCCAGACCCCGCCCTTCACTTTCCAGACCCTGCCCTTCTCTCTCCAGACCCCGCCCTTCACTATCCAGACCCTGCCCTTCTCTCTCAGACCCCGCCCTTCACTCTCCAGACCCCGCTCTTCACTCTCCAGACCCTGCCCTTCTCTCTCCAGGACCCCGCCCTTCACTATCCAGACCCCGCCCTTCACTCTCCAGACCCCGCCCTTCTCTCTCCAGACCCGCCCTTTCACTTCTCCAGACCCCGCCCTTCACTCTCCAGACCCCGCCCTTCTCTCTCCAGACCCCGCCCTTCACTCTCCAGACCCCGCCCTTCACTCTCCAGACCCCGCCCTTCACTCTCCAAACCCCGCCCTTCTCTCTCCAGACCCCGCCCTTCACTCTCCAGACCCCGCCCTTCACTCTCCAGACCCCGCCCTTCTCTCTCCAGACCCCGCCCCTTCTCTCTCCAGACCCCGCCCTTCACTCTCCAGACCCCGCCCTTCACTCTCCAGACCCCCGCCCTTCTCTCTCCAGACCCCGCCCTTCACTCTCCAAACCCCGCCCTTCACTCTCCAGACCCCGCCCTTCACTCTCCAGACCCCGCCCTTCACTCTCCAGACCCCGCCCTTCACTATCCAAACCCCGCCCTTCTCTCTCCAGACCCCGCCCTTCACTCTCCAGACCCCGCCCTTCTCTCTCCAGACCCCGCCCTTCTCTCTCCAGACCCCGCCCTTCACTCTCCAGACCCCGCCCTTCTCTCTCCAGACCCCGCCCTTCACTCTCCAGACCCTGCCCTTCACTCTCCAAACCCCGCCCTTCACTCTCCAGACCCCGCCCTTCTCTCTCCAGACCCCGCCCTTCACTCTCCAGACCCCGCCCTTCACTCTCCAGACCCTGCCCTTCACTCTCCAGACCCCGCCCTTCTCTCTCCAGACCCCGCCCTTCTCTCTCCAGACCCCGCCCTTCTCTCTCCAGACCCCGCCCTTCACTCTCCAGACCCCGCCCTTCACTCTCCAGACCCCGCCTTTCTCTCTCCAGACCCCGCCCTTCTCTCTCCAGACCCCGCCCTTCACTCTCCAGACCCCGCCCTTCACTATCCAGACCCCGCCCTTCACTCTCCAGACCCTGCCCTTCTCTCTCCAGACCCCGCCCTTCTCTCTCCAGACCCCGCCCTTCACTCTCCAGACCCCGCCCTTCACTCTCCAGACCCCGCCCTTCACTCTCCAGACCCCGCCCTTCACTCTCCAGACCCCGCCCTTCACTCTCCAGACCCCGCCCTTCTCTCTCCAGACCCCGCCCTTCTCTCTCCAGACCCCGCCCTTCACTCTCCAGACCCCGCCCTTCACTATCCAGACCCCGCCCTTCACTCTCCAGACCCCGCCCTTCTCTCTCCAGACCCCGCCCTTCTCTCTCCAGACCCCGCCCTTCTCTCTCCAGACCCCGCCCTTCACTCTCCAGACCCCGCCCTTCTCTCTCCAGACCCCGCCCTTCTCTCTCCAGACCCCGCCCTTCACTCTCCAGACCCCGCCCTTCACTCTCCAGACCCCGCCCTTCACTCTCCAGACCCCGCCCTTCTCTCTCCAGACCCCGCCCTTCTCTCTCCAGACCCCGCCCTTCACTCTCCAGACCCCGCCCTTCACTCTCCAGACCCCGCCCTTCACTCTCCAGACCCCGCCCTTCTCTCTCCAGACCCCGCCCTTCACTCTCCAGACCCCGCCCTTCACTCTCCAGACCCTGCCCTTCTCTCTCCAGACTCCGCCCTTCACTCTTCAAACCCCGCCCTTCTCTCTCCAGACCCTGCCCACTCGATCCGCCCCGCGTCTCCTCCTCCTGCGTCGTCACCCATCCCTCCCTCCCCCTCCTCCTCCACTCTCCACCGCCCTTAAATTCGCACCCGCTTCGCACTCGCGCCCGGGGGGAATTAACTTATCAAGTCAGTGAGTGAGTGAGTGGCGAGCGAAGTCAAGTCACCCTCTGAGTCAGCCCCCCCTGATTAAGTCGACCCTCGAGTGAGTCCGCGAACTTGGTGGCAGCCAGCCAGGCAGACAGCGAGCAAGCGACTTCGCCGTCGAGTCGGCGCAGTCGTTGTTAGCTGGGCGAGGTTGCCGCTGAGTTTGTGTTGGCTGACAACGCCGTCGGTTTCGTTGTTAAGTCTCCACAAGCCGCAGGGATCTTTGTTTAGGACCCCCAACTCCCCCCCTATCTCTACCACTCCATCTAGAAGAGCGCTCCGGTTCAAGGAGGACAGCCATGCGTGTACGTTGATCCATTTACAAGGTACGTCTGGCTTGTGGGGCATGATGTGGGGCATGGTGGAGAGTTGTCGTTCGTGGAGGGGATGACGAGTTCGACTCCTGCAGCGGGCGGCTTCCCTAGGAGGTTGTGAATATTGAGATGATGAGGATTTCGTCCAGCAGTGGAAAGACCACGGCCGCTGATGATGATGATGGTGGTGCTGTGTGCGGTTGAACTTATTTCTACGCGTCGTGCTTAATCGGAGGTGCGGTGGTGTTCATACCCTGTGTGTGTGTGTTTAAGTGAAGGATCTTCTCGTGTGTGTGTGTCGAGGTTTGTAGCCACCATGACCGTGATGATCTTAAACGTCGGTCATGGTCAATCCACTGCTGGATGAAGGCCTACTCACGCCTGCGCCGCCTCCATCCCATCACTAAATTATTTGAAGACTTAACGGGGCGACTTTTAAAAGTTAATGCTTTTGTCGACGTTTAGCCTTGAATGAGTCTGTAAAAGGCTGTGAACTGCAGCGTAAATTAACTGTGGGAGGAGGAGGAGGAAGAACCCGGGGTACACGGAGACCACCGTTAACCTCCAGGTTCTGGGGTGCACTTAACCGGGCCGGATATCCAGGAAAGACGCGGGGGTTCACGTCAGCTTAGGCCGCGTTTTGTAAAACGTAGTCCGTATAAGTTAGGCCGCGCCTACTTTGTTGCTTCTGACCAATCGGCGGCGAGAGCGGTGGGTGCTGTAGCCAATAGGCGCGCGCGGCGATAGCGGTTCGCGGATACGTGATGGGAAGTGTAAAACAAGGCCCGGCTAACCCTGTCAAAGTGCGCCCTGCTAAAGTTTTATACGTTTTAAAATACATTTTAGAATTAACTACAGGTGTTTTAAAACGTGACAACCCATTAAACTCGCGACGATTAAACCTCCGGTGGTTATCGTGTTTTTCTAACGAGAGTTCTGATAAAGTTGTGTAAAGAAATAGGCATTAAGTGTAGGTGTACAGTACATGACTAATGGTCATACCATATCGGCAGTTATTGACGTAAGGCGATAACAACTTTACATTATTGATGCGAATATTTAAACTCTACATTGTTTAAACTCGCTTTGTTAAACTGGGTGTTTTAACCATGAGCTTTGGCAGTGTTGGATACCAAGCAAAGTGTCTTCATTGTAACGCTGCTAAACTGATACTTAACTTAATTAACTGTCCATTTTAATGTGAACATTTATGATGTGAACATTTATAATTGATTAAACTCACTCTGCTAAACTTACGGAGTTCAATAAACAAGTACTCGCAATGTTAAACGCGAAATGATGTTATCGTCGGTTCCATGCAAACTAATCGGCACATTCGGCCATAGCATCGTGGCCTTCAATACATGTATATACTATTATTGTTTATATAATAGGCGACGTTTCGGACGATGACCCTTTTAGAGGATATTTTTATTTCGCTTTAAAGGCCACTCATTGAGTCGCCTGCGTGTGGACGCACCACTGACAACGCAGCAGCAGCAGCAACAGCCAACTAATTTAAGTTGTAATTCTGTAATTATCTGATGGGTGTCAACTTGCGAGTAATTAATGATGGTTTGATGTATTATAAAGTGAGATTACATCATCATACAATGAATGTACATGAAGAATATCGGTTATTAATGAGCTCGATAAACTGAAATTTTAAACCAACTGTGCACTAAACACCCAGAGCCGTAAGATATTAACCCATTACATAATTGTTATCACTACTAAATTCAAATTGTTTAAATTAACAGTACTGTGTACATGTATCAAGCTTCTTCTTTCGTATGGCTGATGTAGATGCAAGAGGCAACAACACATTTCACATTCAGGCGGTCAAGCGAGATCACCGCTTCAGGAGCAGTGGAGTTAGTGGCGTATCATCATCATCATCGTCGCTGTGACGTCTCCTTCATATTTGTGGATCAGGGCAATGCTTCGTCTTATACGTTGTACCTTCTGTTCAGGATCACCACAATCGCACACTGGGGAGTTTTATCATTTTCCATTTGTGCATTCGCATCCGCCATGGTTTGTGCGGATACGATTTAGGGTGGACCATGAGCTTCGTGGAAGTTCAAACGCAGGGATTGTCTGCGTTGGGTCTTTCACATTTGACTAGATGGTGCAGTGCTGCTAGGGTTAGAGCTAAGAGTTGGGATTACCTAGATTTCGTGTTCCAGCATCAGGGTCCAAGTTAGAGTTGGGGTTGGTGCCCGTGTTGGGGGTAAAAGTTCGAGCCAGGTCTAGAGTGTTAGTGTTTGGATCGGGGTACAGGTTAGGGTTAGTGCTTCCGTTAGAGTTGGCGTTAAGGTTAGAATTAAGGCTAGGGTCGACTTAAGATGATGTCTAGGGGGCAGAGTTAGGACTAGATTCCAGGCTTGAGTTTGGGATGTGGTTCAGGGGTTAGTGTTAGGGCTATGATTGGAGCTGGAGGCAGTGCTAGGTGCTAGATTTACGACTCGCATTAAATTTAGGGCTGGGTTTCAGGCTACAATTTTAAGGCTTTGGTTTGGGCTACGCTTGGGGCTAGTGATGAAGGTTATGGGTTGGCGTTAGTGCTAGGGGTTTGCGTTAGTGCCAGGGGTTGGCATTAGGACTAGGGGTTGGCGTTAGTGCTAGGAGTTGGCGTTAGTGCTAGGGGTTGGCGTTAGTGCTAGGAGCTACAAGCTATATCTTGTCCCATATCCCGAGCCCAGTCTGGCTCGTGTTGTCCGGGGGGGAGGAGGAGGTGGGGGGGGGTGGCACACGCGCGGAGTTGTCGGGGAATGGGAATCTGGGTGAGATTAGTCTGTGAAGGGTCGCTGTGTTTGCCGTGGTACACGCACAGTGCTGGGCCCTGTGCTCGTGTCAAGCAGGGACGCCGTGTCGTGGGCGAGGTTTTGCGCAGTGCGTGACTTTCGGGGAGCTGGTGGCGCAGCGATTGGCGTGCTCCGCCACGAACCTGCCGACCAGAGATCGATTCCCACTCGCGGCCAGAGACACCAGTGCCTATTCTCTGAACCGGTGCTGCGCCTCCCCTAGGTCGACGTGGCCTCAAATGAGTACCTGGTGCGATGTATGCCAGCCTGCATAGATGCTCGTTAAACAGCACTTGCCTCAAAAGTATATTTAGGCTATACGGAGGATCTTTGTATTTTTGTGTCATTTAGATTAGCACAAGCGCCACTTAGTGGAGAATGGCGATTGGTGTTGTTGTGTCTGGGAGTGCGTGTCCCTTGTGTGTGTGCCTGTTGGTGTGCTGATGTGTTTTTCTTTTGGGGGGTGTGTCGGGCGGGGGGCTGGACACCCACCCGCTCGTGTGCCGTGCCGGCCTTCATAGGGGCTCACGATTGGCACTTGCTCCAACAGTCTGTTTAGGCTATACGGGGGGATCTTTGTCTTTGTTTGAGCGTGAGCATGTATCATGCACTGTATAAGCGTGTGTGCATGTGTGTGTGGCAGTGGTTAGCGCATTGCGCTACGAACTCGGCGACCCGAGTTCGATTCTCGCTCGCAACGAATAACAGTGTGAATATCTGAACCTGTCCTGGGCCTTCCCCTAGGTCGACTCGGCCTCAAATTAAGACCTGGTGTGATGTTTAAACATCACCACTGGGGAGACAAAGGCGGCCGGGCGTAGCGTTGGCCACCCACACATTGCGTGCCGTTCTGATCTTAACAGGTGCTAGCTAACAGCACTTGGCCCAACAGTCTGCTATAGAGTGGGGATCTTTGTTTTATGCGTACTATGTGTGTGTGTGTACGTATGCATAGTGCATACTTGTGTGTGTCACGCAGCAGCTATGCCAACTCACACTCTGGATTTTGTTTAAATATTTACCCAGCTCAAAAGGCGGCTGACTCACACTCGCTCTCTCACAAACTCCATCACACCCAGCAAGCGGCATCCTGTTTGCCAACCACAGTACATCATCGTCATCATTCCGTGCTCTAACCCCGCACTCTCATCAAATTCACGTGTGTGCAACGGCTAGGCGTTGCAATTTCTGTTGCGCAAAGTCATTCCTGCGTGCCGCGTCCGTCCACTCCACGTGCTACTCACTCTGTCCGGCTTCTCGCGCTGTGAATTCCCATCGCCCCCCCCCCCGCGCCGCGCTTTTCACATTTATTTTACCAGGTGAGGGGGGCCCTCTGAGCCACGTAGCTCTTTTTCAGAAGCGACGCGGCTGTCGCCAATAGTTGCTCCACTAAAGCGCCTCGCATCACGTGGACATTTGTAGCCGCCAAATACTCTCAAACGCAGTGTTTCTACTCTTAGGTTTTTTCGGTAAAGTCACGTAGGGAAAAAAAAAAAAATCTATAACGATATAATAAAGATTAAATATTTTAATTATTAATTGTAATTATTTCAATTATTTGTACAGCATTTATTTATTATTATTTTTTACCTACGTGACTTTACCGAAAAAACCTACGAGTATGAATCCTTGCAGTCACGAAAGCTTCAAATCTTAGCAGTGTTTTTACATGTGGAGGGGAAAAACCGGAGGCCCTGGAGAAAAATGCATGCGGCTGCGGGAAGAGCCCGCGACCTCCTGTATACCGGGTGAGGTAGTTTACATCTCCTAGCCACCGTGGCTTCCTTTGTCTTTGTGCCCCCCCCCCACCCCTAACACAGGGAGTGCCCGGCCCCCCTACTGGGCCCCCCACCCACCCCCCGGGCCAAGACGATGGAGCTGCAACCGCCAACCCCACAGACGCCCCCACCACAGCCCCCCAGCCTCTCCATACAACAGCAGCAGCAGCTACAGCAGCAGCAGCAACAGCAGCAGCATCAGCAACAGGCATTCATGGTGCTGCAGCCAGGCCCGCAGGTGAGGAAAGCAGAGGGTAGCTTGACGTCTCTCCACTATCCCCACCATCCTCCCCCCCCCCCCCCGTGTCTTGCCACGTCGACACGTGGAGGGGGGAAAGGGGAGACATTGCAGAGAGATGGTGAGACAGTGAGAGAGACTCTTCTTGTTATTACTCCCTCACGACTTCCCCTCCCCCACCGTGTCGTCTTGCATCCCCACGTCTTCCCATGTCTCCATGCGTCTGCCAGTGTCACCCCATGTCTCCCTGTCTCGAATTATTTTTTACCTCCCCATTTCTCACCGTGTCTCGCTGTCTCCCCATGCCTCTCCCCGTGTCCCCCTGCATCTCCCCGCGTCTCCCCGTCTCTCTCCACGCTTTGCCGTGACCCTCTCTTTCCCCATATCTCCCGACGTCTCCCCATGTCTCCCCTTTCCTCCCCATGCCTTCCCGTGCCTCGCTTTCTCTTCCCTAATCTTCCTACATTTCACCATGTCTACCCCTCTCCCCATGACTCCCTCTCTCCCCCGCGTCTCCCCGCTTCTCTGCGTATCTCACCCGCGTCTCCCCCGCGTGTCCCCACAGCGCCCCCTGCTGCCTCAGTTGGGCTACAACGCGCTGGTCAACTTCCTCATTGAGAAGAAGATCGGACGGGGCCAGTTCAGCGAGGTATACCGTGCCACGTGCCTGCTCGACCACATGCCCGTCGCACTCAAGAAGGTGCAGGTGAGTCACGGGGGTAGCGGAATGGATGGGTGATTGGGTGAGTGGGTGGGTGATTGGGTCTGTGGGTAGGTGAGCAGTGAGGTAGGTGGGTGGGGTGGGTGATGTGGTGGGTGAGGGGTGGGGTGAGGCTAATGGGGTGGAGAGGAGTGGGATGTTTAGTGAGAGCGTGAATAAATGAGTGATTGAGGGGGTTGAGTGGTGGGTGTGTAAGTGGTTAAGTCGATGTTTGAGCGAGTGAGTTGGTAGGTGACTGAGTTGGAAAGTGTCCTGTTGAGTGTATTGCTGAGTGAGTGAATGAGTTTGTGAGTGAGCTGATGAGTGAGTCCTCACTGTGTCTCAGATCTTTGAGATGATGGACGCCAAGGCACGGCAAGACTGCATCAAGGAGATTGACCTCCTCAAGGTGAGAGCTCAACTCGGGGTTAACAGTTCAAGGCTCATGGCTCTCTGTGGTTAGTGGGTCTGTATCTGCATCTGTGTGGTCCTCAATATCTCTGTCTGCATCTGTCTTACTGTGTGCCTCTCTCCGTGTCTTTGTGTCTGCATGTCTCTGTGTGTCACGGTGAGTTGCCGTGCTGATGCGATCGTGTGTCTCTCCTCACGGTATGTCACTGTGTCTCTGCAAATCTGTGTCACCCACAGCAACTGAGTCTCACCCCATTGTCTACAAGTGTGTGTATGTGTAATGGGTTTAACCAGACTGGATTGCAGGGCGAGTAGCTCACAGATCCTTGAAAGATCTTGATAGTCCGAATCGTCGGTCAGCTCCTCGGGTAGGCGAGGTCTGCATTAGCTGGTAATGGAACCCGCATGCCCAACCACCGCATGCCCATGCAGCTTCTGTTTGGCTGGATAGATGGGGCTAATTGGGCACGGCACAGGCTAGAGAAGAGATGGACCAATGTGGTACAGAAGGATGTGGAGCTAATTGGACTTGTCGATGACTGGTACTAGCAGTGTCAAAATCGTCCTCTGTGGAGGAGGCTCGTGAAAGATGCTGCTGGAGGCTTTGGAGGCAGTTGCCCTCCAGCAACAACAGAGGGCAGAGGAGCGACGCTCGCAACAACGAGCGGCGTGCTGGGCGGCTAGCACGCTGCGAACCTGGCAACCCGGGTTCGATTCCCACTCGCGGCCTACACCAGTGACCATTATCTGAACTGCTCCTGGGCCACCTCTAGGTCGACTCCGCCTCAAATGAGTACCTGGTGCGGTGTGTAAACATATGCACTCGGGAGACGAAGCTGGCCGGGCGTGGTGCTGGCCACCCACCCCCGTCATGTGCCGTGCCGGCCTTCGTAGGTGCTACTCGCTAGCAGCACTTGCCACAGAAGTGTACTGAGGCTGTACGGGGGATCTTTTCCTTTGTGTCACCCACAGCAACTGAACCACCCGAACGTGATCAAGTACCTGGCGTCGTTCATCGAGGAGAATGAACTCAACATCGTGCTGGAGCTCGCGGACGCCGGCGACCTCTCCCGCATGATCAAGGTGCGACACGCGGCGGGGCACAAAGGGGAGAGGGGTGGGGGGGGAGATGTGGGCGGTGGAGATGGGGGGGGGAGAGACGAGGGTGGGGGGAGACGGAGGGGGTGGGGAGGAAGAGACGAGGGTGGGGGGGAGACGGAGGGGGGGGGGAGACGGTGGGGGGAGAGACGGAGGGGGGGGGGGAGACGGAGGGGGGGGGGAGACGGAGGGGAGGGGGAGACGGAGGGGGGGGGGAGAGACGAGGGTGGGGGAGAGACTGAGGGGGGGGGGAGACGGTGGGGGGAGAGACGGAGGGGGGGGGAGACGTGGGCGGTGGAGACGGGGGTGGGGGAAGAGACGAGAGACGGAGGGGGGAGAGACACGAGGGAAAGGCAGAGACATTGGATAACCTTGGAGGACAGGGGTGAGAACAAAGGGTGAAACGGGGTCACAAGTGGGGACATGGATAAACTTGTGTGTGTGTGCTGCCTGTTTACTCCATGTGTTCACCATGCATGTTGTGTGTGTGTGTGCTGCCTGTTTACTCCGTGTTCACTATGCGCGTTGTGTGTGTGTGTGCTGCCTGTTTACTCCGTATTCACTATGCGCGTTGTGTGTGTGTGTGCTGCCTGTTTACTCCATGTGTTCACCATGCGCGTTGTGTGTGCTGTGTGTGTGTGCCGCCTGTTTACTCCGTATTCACTATGCGCGTTGTGTGTGTGTGTGCTGCCTGTTTACTCCATGTGTTCACCATGCGCGTTGTGTGTGCTGTGTGTGTGTGCCGCCTGTTTACTCCGTATTCACTATGCGCGTTGTGTGTGTGTGTGCTGCCTGTTTACTCCATGTGTTCACCATGCGCGTTGTGTGTGCTGTGTGTGTGTGCCGCCTGTTGACTTCATGTGTTCACCATGCGCGTTGTGTGTGTTTGTTTGTGCGCCTGTGCAGCACTTTAAGAAGCAGAAGCGTTTAATTCCGGAGCGCACGATCTGGAAGTATTTTGTGCAGCTGTGCAGCGCCCTGGAACACATGCACTCCCGCCGAATCATGCACAGAGGTGTGACACACGACGCACGCAGACGCACACACACGAGACAAAGATCCCCCGTGTAGCCTTAACAGACTGTCGGGGGAAGTGCTGTTAACGAGCAGCACCTAATGGTGGCCGGCACGGCACACGAGGGAGTAGGTGGCCAGCACTACGCCCGGCCGCCTTTGTCTCTCTAGTGGCGATGGTTACGCACCACGCCAGGTATACTCATTTGAGGCTGAGTCGACCTGAGGCAGGCCCAGGACCAGTTCACATTTTCGCCACTGTTATTCATCGTGAGCGGGAATCGAACTCTGGTCGCCGGGTTTGGAGCGCAGTGCGCTCACCACGGCACCACCACCCCACACACACACACCACCCTCTTTTGTACAATGTGCCAGCCTTCGTAGGCACTTGCTATAAACACTTGCCCCAACAGCCTATGTGGGCTACGCAGGAGATCTTTGTCTTCGTTATTGCGGGTGTTTTATGTCCAGTACTGTGTTTGTTTGAACTATCTACATTTCCAATCTACCCACACCACCCACCTTCCACCTACCCACCACATCTACCACCTACCCACCTACATCATTACCCACCTTCCACCCACCTATCCACACCACCTAGCATCTACCTACCCACCCTTACCCACGCCACCTACCCGTAGGCGCTCCCTAACGGGCAACTTGCCCCAGCGGTGTGTGTGGGCCACACGGGAGACCTTTGTCTGTGCACGTGTGCTCGCGACGACGCAGACATCAAGCCGGCGAACGTGTTCATCACGGCGACAGGCGTCGTGAAGCTGGGGGACCTGGGACTCGGGCGGTTCTTCAGCTCCAAGACCACGGCCGCACACTCGCTCGGTACGGTACACTTGGGGAGAGGCGCGGGGAGAGGCGTACGGGTAGACATGCAGAAATGCAAGGGGAGGTGCATGGAGAGAGAGAGACCTGGCGAGACGCACAGGGAGAGAGACACGGGAACACGGAGAGACGAGACAAAACGCACTCGAGGACCCGGATGTGCGTGGACGCTGGCGAGGTGGTCACACGTGCCGGCCCCCCTCCCCCGGCTGGTGGCAACTCATCGGTGGGCCCCTCTGACCCTGCCCCTCTGACCCCGCCCCCCACCCCTCTGACCCTGCCCCCCAACAGTGGGGACTCCGTACTACATGTCTCCGGAGCGGATACACGAAAACGGTTACAACTTCAAGTCCGACATCTGGTCAATCGGATGCCTCCTGTACGAGGTGAGGAGTGTGCGAGCTGCGACCTTGGCGAGTGGACGAACGAGCGACCCTTGAGTGAGCGGCTGAGTAGCTCGCTCCGTTACTCACCCACTCGCTCCGTCGCTCAGCAGAGGTCGCAACCGGGTACCCGATACCCATACCCTACCCGATACCCGGCTACCCGTACGGGTACCCGTTTGCGACCCTGGTGTGGCCGGGTACGGGTACGCCGTGAGTCACTGGTGAGTAACTGTTTGTCACTCATTTCCCAACGTCTTGTCTCTTCTCACAATTCAAGTTCCTAGAATCAACCCACCCGCGCCTGCAACATGGCTTCATCCCAGAGGTCGCAATCAGGTACCCGATACGGCCGGGTACGGGTACCCGTTTGCGACCCTGGTGCGGCCGGGTACGGGTAAGGAATCAAAACCTGTTTGCGACCTCTGTCGCTCAGTCACCCATCTGCTCAGCAACCCACTGACTTGCCCACCCATTAAGTCAGTCACCGAGCCACCCGTTGATTTCCACACAAACCTTATCCAACCCTAACTCCCCCCCCCCCCCCCCCCCCCGCGCTCCTAAACTATCTCCACGCTCTCTACCCCCTTACCTCGACCCCCAACCTCCCGACCCCCGTCACCTGCCAGATGGCGGCCCTGCAGAGTCCGTTCTATGGGGACAAGATGAACCTGTACTCGCTGTGCAAGAAGATCGAGCAGTGCGACTACCCTCCCCTCCCCTCCGACTACTACTCCCAGCAGGTGCCCCCCGCTCAACTACCGAGGGGCTGGGGGGGGGGGCAGGGTACCCGCCCCCCCACCCCCGCTAAGGGGGTCACAGAGAGAGTCTTGTTAAGGGAGACGGGTGGGGGTTAAAGGGACACGAGTAAGAGGTTAGGCACGAGTCTATTGTTGTATGGGTTTGGCGCGAGTGATGCGTTTTTAGTTTAGGGTTAGAGCTCGGGGGTTGGTGTTAGGGCTTCATGATTAAATATATAACCTCTTGCCACGGCAGCTCTCCCGCCGACTTCAGCATTTTCTTGCTGTGCTTGCCCCACCTGATGAAGATCGCTTGTGTTGCGATCAAAACGTCGTGTTTTTATTTTATTTTATTTCTACCCACGTGACTTTACCGAAAGAACCAAAGAGTATGGATTCCTGCAGTCACGAAAGCTTCAAATCAAGGTTAAGGGTCTGTGCCAGGGCTAAGGCTAGGGTGTTAGTGTCAGGGTTAGGGGGGATATGAGTTGGGATCAGGGCTATGGGTTAGTGTCAGGATCGAGGGCTATGCACCGTACGTAACCAACCGCGCTTATCGGAGTCGCGGGGGAAGTACGACAAACGAAACACAAAGTTGTTCCAAAGAAATGAGTTTTCAATGTAGATGATTAAAGAGTGCGCAACTCCAGTGGCTTTTCTAATATCGGAAGGAAGAGCGTTCCAGACGTCCGCGCAAGAAGATCGAGCAGGCTAGGGGTTGGGTGTCAGGATCAAGGGCAAGGCGTTAGTGTCAGAGTTTGAGCTAGGGGGTAGGGGGTTCGTGTTTTAGGGGTTGAGGTCTGGGCTAGGGGTTAGTGTCAGAGTTTGGGGGTAGGGGGTAGGGGGTTCGTGTTTTAGGGGTTGAGGTCTGGGCTAGGGGTTAGTGTCAGAGTTTGGGGGTAGGGGTTTCGTGTTTTAGGGGTTGAGGTCTGGGCTAGGCATTAGTGTCACACAGCACCCCCTGTCCACTCGAGTTTCACCTCTCGCTGTGTGCTGCCCTCCTGCTCCGTGCCCCACCCCCCTCCCCGCCCCATGGTGTTGCCGCCCAGCTGCGGGAGTTGGTGAACATGTGCATCAGTCCCGACCCAGAGCAGAGGCCGGACATCGGCTACGTCTACAACGTCGCCACGCAGATGCACGCCGCCACCTCCTCGTCCTCCCCCGCCACCACCGCCACCACCGGCTCCTCCTAGACGGCCCCGCCACGGCCGTCTGTGGGCTGGCTGTGGACCGCCGCAGCCACCTGTAGCCCTCCTGCGGTCTGCCAGGGCCGCCCCCGTATCCCGCCACGGCCGTCTGTAGACCGTCACGGCGGCCTGTGGCCCGCCGCGGCCTCCACTACGCCGCCGCCGTGCGTCACGGCCGTGCCGGCGTGAGCGCCCCGCCTCTCCGAGTGTCGACCCCCTCCATGGCGAAGCCGCAGCGTGCCACAGCAATCCGTGTGGTCTCCCACGGGCCCCCGAAATGGTTTGTCACGAGCCGCCACGGAAAAGCAACAGCGAGCTTCTCTCTAGCAGGGCGAGCTACGGTGAGCTACAGACCGCCTACGCTGAGCCGCAAAAGAGACACGGTATCCTATAGCAAGCTCTGGGAAAACTGCAGCCTACCGGGCCTACACAGCAAACGGCAACGGCAGTGTCATTCGGATAGCCGCCACGGATTGATTGAGCTTGTGACTGCACGCCCCACGGCAAGCTACTCTGTGACGTACAGCCCACCACGGCTATAGCAGCCCCGATACCGCAAGTCCTGACGTGCCGCAGGCAGGCATTCGTACGCCACGGCAAGCGGCAGCAGCAGCAGCAGCGACTTTGGGGCACGGCAAGCTGGTCACAGCGTGCCACAGCAAGCTGCGTGCGTGCGACGGCGAGCCGTAGCAACCTGCCACAGCCAGACTTTGATGTGCCGCAGCAACCTATCACAGCCTGCCCGCTTACAGCATGCCAGAGCGAGCGCCTCAGCTGTGGCCTTGCGAACAGCCTGCCACGGCCGGCACACGTGGTTATGACTTGCCACGGCAAGCTACAGCCTGCCGCAGTGGTGTAGGGGAAGAGAAGTGGTGCGTCAGCTGTGGGGTCGCAACTGTGGGTGGCAAATGCACGGGATGAGAGGGAAACGGCCTCTACCACAGGCGGAACTACAGGCGGAATGACGGGGACACGGGCAGTCGCATGGGCAGACTGCAAAAACCGGACACAATGCAACAACGCGGCAACACATCGCTACGGCAACAGAAATTGGACGGGCTACAGCAACGCAACACCCAAACTATGACAACACCACAGCCGTCTACAACAACCCCACCAACTAGACCGTCTACCCACACACACAACCCAGGCCTCATTTTTTGTGTCACTCTGCTATAACTCGTCATCATCATTATTATTGTTATTATTTTTTATTTCTTATCGTTTATCTCCCGCTCCCTCCATGCTGTTGTGATGGACACGTGGTTGGAGTTGTTTGTTTTGAACCAGAACTCCGCTCCCCCTCCCTCCCCACCTTAGTCAGCGGATGGAGGAGACCCCCCCCCCCCCACCCCGTGATTGGGGTTTCTCTGCCACGCGACGTGGCCACGCGACCCGCTCGTGGCGCTGACCACAGACGACGAATAAAGGGTTCCTGCATTTCACGAGCGCCGTGTGCGACTTGATGGGGGAGCGTTGTCGCCGCTCGCCTCCACGCTCACGCAAACCTCCACTTACCTGCACACTCGCTCACCTGCGCGCTCGCTCACCTGGTCACTCGCTCACCTGGTCACTCGCTCACCTCCACACTCACCTGCGCCCTCGCTCACCTGGTCACTCGCTCACCTGGTCACTCGCTCACCTGGTCACTCGCTCACCTGGTCACTCGCTCACCTGGTCACTCGCTCACCTGGTCACTCGCTCACCTGGTCACTCGCTCACCTGGTCACTCGCTCACGTGCACACTTGCTCACGTGCACACTTGCTCACGTGCACACTCGCACACACGCTCACCTGCACGCTCGCTCACCTGCACACTCGCCAACCAACACACACGCCTCTCCAGTCGCCAGCATAACCCACTCTGCTCGGCATTGGCTCGCCTCCACACTCGCCTACCCATGGTCCTCGCCACACGCGCTACGACCTGCAGTGCCACACGAGGCCACCAGGCGTCACCCCCTGGCCGCATTGTACCCCCACAACACAGACCCCCGCGGCGGACCCTGCGAGAGTGTAGGGGGATAGGGGCGGGTGTGAGGGGTGTTGGGTAGGAAGCAGAGGTCGCAAACGGGTTTTGATTCCTTACCCGTACCCGGCCGCACCAGGGTAGCAAATGGGTACCCGTACCCGGCCCATTCCCTACCCGTACCCTACCCGAAATGAGTGACGAACGGTTACTCACCAGTGACTCACGGCCTACCCGTACCCGGCCGCACCAGGGTCGCAAACGGCTACCCGTACCCGGCCGGGTACGGGTAGCCGGGTATCGGGTAGGGAACGGGTATCGGGTACCCGGTTGCGACCTCTGGTAGGAACGGGGGGCGGTAGTGTAGCGGTTAGCGCCCTGCGCTGCGAACCTGGCTACCCGGGTTCGATTCCTGCTCACTGCAAACACCAGGGCCTCCCCTAGGTCGACTCGGCCTCAAATGAGTACCCGGTGCGGTGTGTAAAAACATCGCCATTGGGGAGACAAAGGCGGTCGGGCGTGGTGCTGGCCATCATAGGTACAACTCACTAACAGCACTTGCCCCTAAGTCTGTTAAGGCTATACGGGTTATCTTTGTTTTGTAGAGAGCGTTTGCTAGGAACCCGGGCGGCCCGAGTTTGATTCCCGCTCAGGGCAACAACGTCTGTGACGAATACTGCATCTTGAGCCGGTCCTAGGGCCTTCCCCTAGGTGGACTGGGCCTCCAAATACCTCCCTGCTGTGTGATGTGCAGCTGCTTACTGGCAGTAGGTGGGGCTAGTTGCCGAGTGGACAATGTTAGGGCCCGAGTGGGCGGAGCTAGTGATCGAGTGGGCGGGGCTAGTGTCAGTGGGCGGGGCTAGGAACCGAGTGGGCGGGGCTATAAACCGAGTGGGGGGGGCTAAGAAACGAGTGGGCGGGGTTAGGGGCGGAGTGGGCGGGGCTAGGAACCGAGTGGGCGGAGTGGGGAGGGTAGCGAGTGATTGAGTGGGCGGTGCTAGCGACGGAGTGGGCGGGGCTAATGGCCTAGTGGGCGGGGCTAGAGATCGAGTGGGGCGGTGCTGGAGACCGAGTGGGCGGGGCTAGTGACGAGTGAGTGGGGCGGTGCTGGAGACCGAGTGGGCGGGGCTAGAGACCGAGTGGGCGGGGCTAGAGACCGAGTGGGCGGGGCTAGCAACCAGTGAGTGGGCCGAGTGGGCGGGGCTAGTGACGAGTGAGTGGGCCGAGTGGGCGGGGCTATGTTAATGAGGGCAGACGATTCGACTCTGTGGCCTGTTTGAGGCTCCCAGGAACGTGTAAGGAACACTTCAAGGTTGGGGGGGGGCTGCTAAGCTGTGGGACAGGAAAGGGGGGGGGCGGGGGGGGTGTGCGCTGGGGATAAATAATGGGAATCGGTTTTGTGACAACGATGCTGTTAAAACCACTTTTATTTTTTTTGTAATGTTTTTTTTTTCACGACCGCGCTCCGTCATCACCGTCTTCGTAGTCGATAATAAATAAATAAATCCGCCGCGAGACCGCACACCGAACGCGCCGGGGCCACGACACCTTTGTACACAAGGCGAGGTGGGGGGGGGCACCATCAGAATTTACATCGCGAGAGGAGGGGGGCACAGAGGGGGTATGCCCCCCCCATTCCTTAACCTCCGTTTATCGGCGAAACTTTTAAAAAATACAAACGGCGAATTGCGTGGTGGGGGGGGGGTGTAGTGGATTAGCGAGGAGCTGATGGTTGATAAGTTCGATGCCCCGGTTCTGATCACGACAGTTTCATCCCCATCGTGGGTGCGATCTGCGTGAGTGACGGGGGGAGTCGTGGGACGGATAATCCATTGGGAATTCTCTCACGGGGGAAGATCCCCTTCACGTGCCCCTTTCATCCTTTGCGCACAGCAAGGCGACCTTCATCCAGCAGTGCGTAGACCATGGCTGAAGATGCTGACGATTATTTATTATTTACAAAAAAATTGAAACAATTATACACCTTTTTGAGCAACTTAATTACATTACGTAACCGGGTAATCGAACCCGTGTCTCTCTCTGTGTGGCCAAACGTCGCCTCCCCATCCACCCCGCCCCCCCCCCAATGTCTCCTCGCACCGCCTACCCCCTCGCCTTTACCCCCTCGCCTACAACATCGCCCCCCCCCCCAACCTGCCCCCCTCTCCACTCCGCACACCGCTGCCCGTGACTGGTGGACGCGCGTAGTGCATTACACATCCCCGTCACCGCTGCCATTCCAAGAAGAGGCTTCCATGTAAAAACGCTCGTACCGTTCTGCGTAATTTTGTTGTTGTTGTAACGTTGATGACAACAACAACCGCAATAATATTAACATTACTCAACACCTCTCTTTTGCTGGGTCCTCTCTAATCCTGAAGATGCTTGGCTGAGTTGCCAAGGAGCCGTGAATTGCCCACCAAATCGCCTCTTTTTTCCCCAGCGAAGATAATATTTCTTCGTCGGTGAAAGGGGGGCAGGAGGGGGGGGGGCAGCCTTTGTGGCTCGAGCGACAGCGTCGGGTGGTGGGAGCAGGCTTCTTGACGACACAAGATTCTAATCACAGGGCAGCGTTTTCGTCGCTGCTGCTGCTGCTGCTCCCACGTGGTGGCGTAATCACAACAGAATGCATCGTGAATCGATACTTCAATTGTAGCTATCGTTCTAGATTTGAAGCTTTCGTGGCTGCAAGGATTCATACTCTTAGTTTTTTCGGTAAAGTCACGTAGGTGAAAAATGAAATTAAAATTAATAAAACAATAAAAATCACGACGTTTCGGAGGCAACACAAGTCTCCGTCATCAGGTGGGACCGTCACAGCCAGATGTTTCGGAGGCAACACAAGTCTCCGTCATCAGGTGGGATACAGCAAATCTGGCTGTGACGATCCCACCTGATGACGGAGACTTGTGTTGCCTCCGAAACGTCGTGATTTTTATTTTTTATTAATTTTAATTTAATTTTTACCTACGTGACTTTACCGAAAAAACTAATTAAGAGTATGTAGCTATCGTGATTGAAGTGTTTAATTCACGCTCCCTCGAAGCAGAACTGAGTCCCCATCCTCCCCACCTCCCACCGCACGCTTTTGTTTGGGGATAAACGTAAGTCCTGGCTGATCTGAACAGAGGCTCACGCGTGTGTGCGTGTGTGTGTGGTGAACTTCTTTCGCACCGCACGCTCGCCAACCGCGCTAACCCCGAGGCGCCGGGGAAAAGACGACGAAACGAAACACAAATAAGCGGTCCTCACAGCAGCCTTGGGGGTCACGTTGATCGGGGACCAGGGGAGACGAGATTCGTCGGAACTTTCCAGCTCCAGGAATTCCCGCTTGACATTCCGGGTTTTGTCCGTCTTCTCCCCACGGGGAGATCCGTGTGGTCCGCTCCGATCGGAAAGATGCACTCCCCCGGAGGTAGGGTGACAAGCCGGCGATTGGATTTTGTTGGGCGGCCACGTGATTGGATCCCGAGTCGCCCACCAAACGAAACCGAGCCAACGTTGCCCGGCATATTGGTCGATTTCACGTTTTGCTGGGTGTTGAGTAATCCGATTGCATCTGTAGACCTCGTAATCTGCAGAATGCGAGTCGAGTCATCTGAAGATAATTGGGGAATTGAAGGAATCCGATCCGGGGACAGATTAATTATATCTTTATCGGGGCTTGAGTAAAATCCAAACGAGGGGTTTGGGTAATCCCAACTCGTGTCGAGCGAATCTCAGTAATCCGCAATAAAAAGGCGGAGTAATTCGGACTGAGTGCGAGTGTTATTATCCAGTAATCTGGAGCAGAGGTCGGGTTAATTGAAACCCGATTCTGAGGAGTCCGATTACAAGCGAGCATCTCATCCCCAGTTGGGGATAATCCAAAGTAGATTACTATAGATTAAGTAAAAAACTGAGGCCGGTTAATCGGAACACGAGTAAAGTAATCCAGATTACCTGCAAGATCAAGTAATCCAAACCCCGAGTGAAGTACTCCCCATCACCTTCCAGATAAAACAATCTGAACCCAAGTAAAGTAATCCAGATTACCTACCATATGAAGTAATCCGAACCTGAGTAAAGTAATCCAGATCGCCTGCCGCATAAAGTTATTCTGATAAAGTAATCCGGTCCCGAGTTAAGTAATCCGGATTACCTTCGAAATAAAGTAATCTGGCCCCGCGTAAAGTAAACCCGGATAAAGTAATCCTGATTACTTTCCGGCTAAAGTAATCCGCAGAGAGTGACATCACAACGGACACATGAAACCCCCCCCCCCACAAAACCCAGCAGACCAATCAGAAGCGGCGTGCGAGCAGGTGGGGCGGGGGCGGGCTCGCCGATTGGACGACGCCCGGGACGGAGGTGACGGTGGGCCGCGCGGGATTGGTCAGGTCGGTGAGGGTGGTGACCGAGAGCGCGGGGCTCAGCGGTGGGCTGGAGAGGTCCCCGCCCCCCGGGGAGGGGTGGGGGGGGCCGCCGCCCCCCTCCCCCCCGCACCCTTTGTCCATGCCCGCGCCACCGCCCCCCCCCTCTTCGGGCCGCAGGAGGTTCCTTCGGAACTTGGCGCGAGCGTTCTGGAACCACACCTGGGGGAGGGTCGGGGGAGGTGGGGGGAGCGTGGGGGGAGGGTGGGGGGAGGTGGGGGGAGGTGGGAGGAGCGTGGGGGGAGGTGGGGGGAGGGTGGGGAGAGGTGGGGGGAGGGTGGGGGGAGGTGGGGGGAGGTGGGAGGAGCGTGGGAGGAGGTGGGGGGAGGGTGGGGGGAGGTGGGGGGAGGGTGGGGGGAGGGTGGGGGGAGGTGGGAGGAGCGTGGGGGGAGGGTGGGAGGAGCGTGGGGGGAGGTGGGAGGAGCGTGGGGGGAGGTGGGAGGAGCGTGGAGGGAGGGTGAGGGGAGGTGGGGGGGGGAGGGTGGGGGGAGGTGGGGGGAGGGTGGGGGGAGGTGGGGGGAGGGTGGGGGGAGGGTGGGGGGAGGTGGGGGGAGGGTGGGGGGAGGTGGGAGGAGCGTGGGGGGAGGTGGGGGGAGGGTGGGAGGAGCGTGGGGGGAGGGTGGGGGGAGGGTGGGAGGAGCGTGGGGGAGGGTGAGGGGGGGTGAGGGGAGGTGGGGGGAGGGTGGGGGGAGGGTGGGAAGAGCGTGGGGGGAGGTGGGAGGAGCGTGAGAGGAGGTGGGGGGAGGGTCGGGGGAGGTGGGAGGAGCGTGGGGGGAGGTGGGGGGAGAGTCGGGGTAGGTGGAAGGAGCGTGGGGGGAGGTGGGGGGAGGGTCGGGGTAGGTGGGAGGAGCGTGGGGGGAGGGTGGGAGGAGCGTGGGAGGAGCGTGGGGGGAAGTGGGAGGAGCGTGGGGGGAGGGTGGGGGGAGGAGTGTGGGGGGAGGGTGGGAGGAGCGTGGGGGGAGGTGGGGGGAGCGTGGGGGGAGGGTGGGGGGAGGTGGAAGGAGGGTGGGGGGAGGAGCGTGGGGGGGCAGGAGGTGGAAGGGCGGGGGGAGGGGTAAAGGATTTGTGCCAGGTGGATGGGAGGGGTGGGGCAAGGAGGGATGGGGTAGGCGGAGTGGGGAGAGATGGGAGGAGGTGGAGACAAGGGGAGGGGTTGATGAGTTCAGTGGGGGGGGCAGGGGGGCAGAGATAAGAGAGGGGGGGGGGCAGGGGAAGAGGGGGGGGCAGGGGAAGAGAGGGGGGATGTAAGGGGAGGGAGAGAGGCGAGTTCAGCGACAACAGTCACGTGATCACATCTCTCCGCGCTGCCCATCGTGACCCACGGTGGGTCGCGTGACCTGTTGGTGGTACGGCATGACGCGTGGTGGTGGTGGTGGTAGGGCCGTGCGTGGTGGTGGTGGTTGTAGGGCCTTGCGTGGTGGTGGTGGGTACGGCATGACGCGTGGTGGTGTGGCTCATGGTGTGGTTCATGATTCTCGGTGGGGTGGCGTGATGGTTTGGCGCGCGGTGTAAGCCGGTGAGTGGTCAGTGGTGCCGCTGATTGTGCAGTGATATGTTCTGTGGGATATGGTGGTGCATGGTGGTGGTGGTGCATGGTGGTGGTGTGGTGCTGGTGTGACGCTTGACGCATGTGGTGTGGTGGTGGCGATGCAGTGTGGTGGTGGCGATGTGGTGTGGTGGTTCTGGCAATTCGGTGTGCGGTGTGTGGTGGCGATGCGGTGGCGATGCGGTGGTGATGCGGTGCCGGCGGCGGCGTGGTGGTGGTGGTGACGGTGCGGTATGGTGCTGGCGGTGGTGGTGGTGGTGCGGCGTGGTGGTGGTGGTGGTGGCGGTGGTGGTGTAACCTGTAACACTCGCTTGGTGAGACCCGTCTTCTGCGCGAGCTGCTTCAGGTCCTTGGCGTCCGGGTTGTGGTTGAGCGCGAAGAACGACTTCATGGTACGCAGCTGGTGGTGCTTGAAGGAGGTTCGCATCCTCTTGGACTTCTGTGACTGTTGGTAGCCCAAGTCCCCGTCCTGGCAGCCGTCAGGGTCGGCGCAGCCCAAGCCTGCATTGACCACCACCCAAAAACGGAAGAAGAAGAAAACCCCACAAAGTTTCCCCGGTATACAACGCGGTGCCGAACTTTCGTGCGTTTCACCCTTTCTGGCAATGACACGAGAGGCGTTAAAGATGTTCACAAACACCAAACAGAAACCTATTTTTGACTTAAAGCTTTCGACAGAGCCAGCAGGTGCCATGGGTTGACTGCTGTGCCAGGCTCGGTGCAGGAGGAGGAGGTCACGGGACAGACCCAGGTGCCATGGGTTGACTGCTGTGCCAGGCTAGGTGCAGGAATTCACGGGACAGACCCAGGTGCCATGGGTTGACTGCTGTGCCAGGCTAGGTGCAGAAGGAGGAGGTCACGGGACAGACCCAGGGGCCATGGGTTGACTGCTGTGCCAGGCTAGGTGCAGGAGGTGGAAGTCACGGGACAGACCCAGCAGGTGCCGTGGCTTGACTGCTGTGCCAGGCTAGGTGCATGAGGTCACGGGACAGACCCAGCAGGTGCCATAGGTTGACTGCTGTGCCAGGCTAGGTGCAGGAGGTCACGGGACAGACCCAGGTGCCATGGGTTGACTGCTGTGCCAGGCTAGGTGCAGAAGGAGGAGGTCACGGGACAGACCCAGGGGCCATGGGTTGACTGCTGTGCCAGGCTAGGTGCAGGAGGTGGAAGTCACGGGACAGACCCAGGTGACATGGGTTGACTGCTGTGCCAGGCTAGGTGCAGGAGGAGGAGGTCACGGGACAGACCCAGGTGACATGGGTTGACTGCTGTGCCAGGCTAGGTGCAGGAGGTGGAAGTCACAGGACAGACCCAGGTGCCATGGCTTGACTGCTGTGCCAGGCTAGGTGCAGAAGGTCACGGGACAGACCCAGGTGCCATGGCTTGACTGCTGTGCCAGGCTAGGTGCAGGAGGTCACGGGACAGACCCAGGTGGCGTTGTATGACTGAGATGAGCGGCAGATGCACCCCCACCACCACCCTCCCCTCCTGTGCCCCCCAGCCTCCCAGCCCCCCCCCCCCATACCTAGCCCCCCCCCCCCATACCTAGCCCGTACTCCAGAATCTCCGCCCCGTGCGCCGCCGACGGCTTCCGCTTGCGCGGGCGGTGTCTCTGCGCCGACCCCCGGCCCCTGCCGTGCACGGGGGGCGGACCCCCGCCTCCCCCGCCGCCGTGACCCAGAGAACCTCCCGGCCCCACCTCGTGCCAACCCCCTCCGCCCAGGACCCCTCCCCCGGGCCCCCCCTGCATGAGCAGGGAGGACGCCGCACCGGCGACGGAGCCCCCCACGACGGAGCCGCCTCCGCCGGCGGACGCTGCGCCCCCCCCGCCGGCGTCGTCTCGGCTCTCGTCGCGAAGGAGCGACTCGAAGTGGGGGCGGCAGTAGACGCGGCTGCCCCGCATGCCGAAGTGGTCGCCCGGCGTCAGGGGCCGTTCGCACGCCGCGCAGCGGAAGCAGCGCAGGTGGAAGACGGAGTCGCGCGCGCGCATCACCAACTCCGAGGCCGGGATCCCCGAGCCGCAGCCTGAGCAGCGCTGCGATGAGAAGCGCCTGGGGGTGTGGAGGGGTGGAGGGGGGAGGTGATTACCTCGCCTGGTGTACAGGAGGTCGTGGGTTCGATCCCGACACTGACGCCTGCTGCTGTATGTTTGGAGTGTGCGTGTCTCTCTCTCATCATCATCACGGTGGTTAGGAGATGTTGACTACCTCGCCTGGTATACAGGATGTCGGGGGTTCGATCCCGACACTGACGCCTGCTGCTGTATATTTGGAGTTTGCGTGTCTCTCTCTCTCAACATCATCACGGTGGCTAGGAGATGTTCACTACCTCGCCTGGTATACAGGAGGTCGTGGGTTCAATCCCGACCCTGACAACGCCTGCTGTATATTTGGAGTTTGCGTGTGTCTCTCTCTCATCATCATCACGGTGGCTAGGAGATGTTAACTACCTCGCCTGGTGGACAGGAGGTTGGGGGTTCGATCCCGACACTGACAACGCCTGCTGCTGTATATTTGGAGTTTGTGTCTCTCTCATCATGATCACGGTGGCTATGAGATGTTGACTACCTCGCCTGGTGTACAGGAGGTCGTGGGTTCGATCCCGACACTGACGCCTGCTGCTGTATGTTTGGAGTGTGCGTGTCTCTCTCTCATCATCATCACGGTGGTTAGGAGATGTTGACTACCTCGCCTGGTATACAGGATGTCCGGGGTTCGATCCCGACACTGACGCCTGCTGCTGTATATTTGGAGTTTGCGTGTCTCTCTCTCTCAACATCATCACGGTGGCTAGGAGATGTTCACTACCTCGCCTGGTATACAGGAGGTCGTGGGTTCAATCCCGACCCTGACAACGCCTGCTGTATATTTGGAGTTTGCGTGTGTCTCTCTCTCATCATCATCACGGTGGCTAGGAGATGTTAACTACCTCGCCTGGTGGACAGGAGGTTGGGGGTTCGATCCCGACACTGACAACGCCTGCTGCTGTATATTTGGAGTTTGTGTCTCTCTCATCATGATCACGGTGGCTATGAGATGTTGACTACCTCGCCTGGTATACAGGAGGTCGTGGGTTCGATCCCGACCCTGACGCCTGCTGCTGTATATTTGGAGTGTGCGTGTTTTCCGCGTGGTCGCGTGGCTTTGTCTCCGGGTCCTCCGGGTTTTCCCCTCCACATTCAGTCGGAATCGCGCGTGTCCACACGCGATCATCCGCGGCCAGATCGCTTTTGAAAAAGAGCCGCATAGCTCAGCGGCCCCTTACCTCGTCAAATACAAATAGTTTCTAGTTTTAGTTAGTTTAGTCGTGGGGGGGTTGGGGGGGAGAGCCGAGAAGGGGGGCACAGTGGGAGAGTATGTGTGGTCATCGTCAGGATGCAGGGTCTCGATTTAAAGCTTTCGTGACTGCAGGGATTCATCTTCTTGGTTCTTTCAGCAAAGTCACGTAGAAGGAAAATAATAAAATAATAAAAATAAAACATAATAAAATAATAAAAATAAAACATAATAAAATAATTCTCACGACGTTTCGGCCACAACGCAAGCAGCCGTCCTCAGGTGAAGAACGTTGTGGCCGAAACGTCGTGAGAATTATTTTATCATGTTTGATTTTTATTATTTTATTATTTCCCTTCTACGTGACTTTACCGAAAGAACCAAGAAGATGCAGGGTCTGCAAGGTCACCGGACGTCATAGCCGAGGGGGGCCCTGACACTGCAGCTAATGAGCTCACTGGTCTGGTCTGGTGTGTGTGTGGGGGGGGGGGCTATAGCCGATTGGTGGGTGGTCGAAGTGGTGGGTGGGGTGGGTGGGGTGGGTGGGTGGTGGTGTGGTGGGTGGGGTGGGTGAGCGGTACCGGTAGTAGTCCTGGCGGCAGTAGATGCCTCCGTCGCGCGCGTAGCAGCTGAGCTCCGTGTCGAGGGCGATTTCGCAGTCGCGGCACTTGAGGCATCGCAGGTGCCAGGTGCGACCCACGGCGAGCAGGTAGAAGCGCTCGGCGATGAGGCGGCCGCAGCCCGCGCACGCCGCACTCGCCTGGGGGGGGGGGGGTGGTGGTGGGGGGGGGCACGGGGGAGTGTTAGGTGGGGGTGGTAAGAGAGGGAGTGGTGGTGGTGGGGGGGGCACGGGGGGGGGGGTAGAGTTAGGTGGGGGTGGTAAGAGAGGGGGGTAGAGAGGGAGTTAGGTGGGGGGGGGGCACGGGGTAGAGTTAGGTGGAGGTGGTAAGAGAGGGAGTGGTGGTGGGGGGGCAGGGGGGGAGAGTTAGGTGGGGGTGGTAAGAGAGGGAGGGAGTGGTAGGTGGTGGGGGGGGGGGGGCACGGGGGAGAGTTAGGTGGGGGTGGTAAGAGAGGGAGGGAGTGGTGGTGGTGGTGGGGGGCACGGGGGGAGAGTTAGGTGGGGGGGGGCATTATGGAGAGTTCGGTGGGGGTGGTAAGAGAAGTAGGGAGTGGCAGGTGGGTGGTGGGGGGGGTGCAAGGGGGTAGAGAGGGAGTTAGGTGGGGGGGGGGGTATCGGGGTGGCGAGGGAGGGACGTGTGGGAGAGGGAGGGAGTGGGGGGGGGGGTAATGAGTGAGAGACGGGGAGGGGGGCAAGTGAGGTGAGTATGGAGTGAGAAATGCGGCGAGAGGGGGGTACGGAGGGGGTCGAGCAGGGGGCGAGAGAGAGAGGGGGGGGGGGCTCGTGGGGTGATGGGTGTTGAGTGAGAATGTTGGGAGCGAGGTGAGAGGGAGGAGGGGTGATTAAGGGGGGTCGATTGGAGTTGGTGGCAGAGGGGGTGCAAGTGGGACCAGTGAAGTGGAGCGACAGGTTCGACACAGCTTGGTTACTACGTCAGCAGTCGTCATCATCCGCCACGATCTATCCACTGCTGGATGAAGGCTCTCCTTGAGCCGACGCGATAGCCTCACGGCCACGCGAAAGCGACGATCCACGATCAATCGCTCCGTCTCCACGGCGGTTAAAATAAACTTTTATTTTACCAGGTATTGTCCACTGAGCTATATAGGTATTTTACTGGTAGGAACCTCCTGGTTACACCAGCCCACAGGGGATTATTGTGTCCGTCGTGCAGGGAGGGGCTGGGTGGGGAGGGTGGGGCTGGGTGGGGAGGGTGGGTAGGGGCTGGGTGGGGAGGGGCTGGGTGGGGAGGGGCTGGTCACCCCGTGGTGCTCTTATAAAACTCAACGTTTAACCTACTTACACCGGCTTGTGCCCGCCCTCACAGTCGGGTATATTTGCGGAATACACCACGCCGCCGTTGACCCTGGCCATTGACCGAGCAACCCAACGTTCCTACCAGCTCCCTCCGCAGGAATGTGTTTTCAGAAGCGACCTGGCTATCACAAAACATAGCTTAACGGAGTGGCTTATCGCGTGGACATTTATAGCAGCCAAATAGTCTAAACGCGTGACATTGATTCTAAATGTGGAGGGGAAACCCGTAGGACCCCGAGAAAAATCCAAGCGACCACGGAGAGAGAGACACGCAAACTCCAAATAAACAGCAGGCGTCAGGGTCGGGATCGAAGCCACGACCTCCTGTATACCAGGCGAGGTAGTTAATATCTCCTAGCCACCGTGATGATGAGAGAGAGAGAGACACGCAAACTCCAAATAAACAGCAGGCGTCAGGGTCGGGATCTAACCCACGACCTTCTGTACACCAGGCGAGGTAGTTAACATCTCCTAGCCACCGTGATGATGATGAGAGAGACACACACGCAAACTACAAATATACAGCAGGCGTCAGGGTCGAGATTGAACCCACGACCTCCTGTACACCAGGCGAGGTAGCTAACACAACTGGTAGTCCACCAACTTTGGTCCAAGCGAGCCTGACTTTGCTGATGAGACACTAAAAGTCGAAACCAATCGTTGCCTATAAACAACTGGTAGTCCACCAGTTTTGGTCCAAGCGAGCCTGACTTTGCTGATGAGACACTAAAAGTTCGAAACCAATCTTTGCCTATAAGCAACTGCCAGCTTCGCCAGCTTTGGTTCAGGCAAGTCAGGAAAGTTTGACTTCTGATGAGACACTGAAAGTCTAAACCGGTCTGCAGTTTTGCTTGTGTTGATTCAATGCTGCTGAGGTTACTCGCTGATGGGATGTGTACAATGCTTGTAGGTTGTTTCGCCTGAGGGACGGTTCTGTTATTTTATTAGTTGAAGCTTGAGGGTGACTACGACTACCAAAGATAAAGATCCCCCGTATAGCCTGGACAGGCTGTTGGGGCAAGTGCTGTTAGCGAGCACCTATGAAGGCCGGCACGGCACAAGGCAGGGGTGGGTGGCCAACACCACGCCCGGCCGCCTTTGTCTCCCCAGTGGCGATGTTTACACACTGCACCAGGTACACATTTGAGGCTGAGTCGATATAGGGGAGGTACAGGACCGGTTCAGATAATAGTCACTGGTATTGGCTGTGAGCAGAACGTAGGGCAGTGCACTAACTGCTACACCACCACTACCACCACCAACTACCACCACTTCACCACCACTACCACCACCAACTACCACCACTTCACCACCACTACCATCATTACTATTTGGGGTCGTCCATAAATGACGTCACGCGATTTTGGACGATTTTTGACCCCCCCCACCCCCCCTCGTCACACGGCGTCACAAAAAGTCAGACCCCCCTCAAATGACGTCACAAAGCTCTGCCCCCCCCAAATATAAAACATGCTTCAAATCGCTTTAAACTATTGTGATTGTAGTGCGTATTTAATGTGCCGCTGCACTCTGATATTGTAGGATAAACATTTATCAAAAAGTCTATTTCATTAAGTGGAACGTGTTGTCTATATTTATTTAAAGTTGCGCATTTTGATGTGACGTCAAACCCCCCCCCCCTCGTCACACATCGTCACAAATGTCTGACTCCCCCTCCCTCCCTAGGTTCGTGACGTCATTTATGAATGGCACCTTACCATCATTACCACCATCAATGTTACCATCACTCAGGGGCGGTTTCTTCATTAGGGCGATTGGGCGACGCACCACCAATGTCATTGAACCACAGAGTCACGCTAGCCGTCACTGTCAGCCTCTGGATATAGTCCAATCAGCGTCATGTCACGTTCTGTGGAGTACCGCCTCTTTTGGGGCGATTTCACTCCGGCTGAGAATCGCCCCGAGTGGCCCCATAGACTTACATTCAAAGATGTTTTTTTTTCGAACGGGGGCGCTCCAATGCATTATCTATGGCTTCCGGGAGGGCAAGCCCTAACGTGCTTACGTCATCATACGTGCTAACGTCATCATACGTGCTTACGTCATCATACGTAAGCACGTTTCATCCAACAATATAATTTATCGCTACCTAGTGGAATCTTTAATAAAATAAACTTGAGTGGTTTGTTTTAATAGTGAGTATATAAACAAACAAGATGTATTGTAAGAGTCACTTTATTTTTCATTAATATTAAAGAAGTGAAGTTGCCTTTACATGCTTAAGCTGTTAATTTATTCATTGCATGGGTGGACCTTATCCTTATCAATCATCCAGACATTTGCCCCCCCTGAGATATTTTGCAGGAGCCGCCACTGCCATCACTACCAGCACCTCTACCACCGTTGCCATAATTGCTTTCACCATCACCACCATCAATGTTTTCACCACAGGTACCCCCCACCATCATTATTACTGTCACCCTCATCATCATCATTAACGTCACCACCACCACCTTCATCAAAATCACCCCCAACCATCACCACCTTCATCACTATCACCGCCATCATCACTATCACCATTATCACTCCCACAAAGATCATCCGTTCTAGCTTTAACGGACTGTAGCGGTAAGTAATACTGGTAGGAACCACTTGGTTCCACCAGTCCACAGGGGATTATTATGTCCGTCCGTCGTGCATCCAAAAATGGGAGGGGTGGGGCTGGGTGGAGAGGGGAGGGTGGGGAGGGGCTGGGTGGGGAGGGTGGGGAGGGGCTGGGTGGGGAGGGTGGGGCTGGGTGGGGAGTGGCTGGGTGTGGAGGGGCTGGGTGGGGAGGGGCTGGGTGGGGAGGGGCTGGGTGGGGAGGGGCTGGGTGGTGAGGGTCGGGCTGGGTGGGGGGTGGGCTGGGTGGGGAGGGGCTGGTCATCCCGTGGTGCCCTTATAAAACTCAACGTTTAACCTACTCACGCCGGCTTGTGCCCGCCCTCACAGTCGGGCATATTTGCGGAATACACCACGCCGCCATTGACCCTGGCCATTGACCGAGCAACCCAACGTTCCTACCAGCTCCCTCCGCAGGAATGTATTGTTTGCGAGTAGCAATTATGAAGATCGGAACGACACACTCACCACACTACCGCTCCCTATCACTTACCACCACCATCATTATCACCACGAAGAAAAAAAACATCTATCCACAAACACGTGACCTCCATGAGATGACATTAGCCCGCTTCAATGGGTCTTTACTCTTTGGTTCTTTCGGTAAAGTCACGTAGAATGGAAATAATACAAAAATAAAATAAAACATAATAAAATAGTTCTCACGACGTTTCGGCCACAACGCAAGCAGCCGTCCTCAGGTGAAAACCAGGTCTGTCGGGGAGACAGCGTCTGAATGAAACACCACCACGCTTGGAGCGTATATTTAAGCTGGGTTGGAAGGGGGGGGGGGAAGGGCGCCTTGACGAAATAATTTGCATATCAAGAGGAATTTAGCATATTTACGATGTTTCGGAAGCAACACAGGCGTCCGTTATCAGGTGGGAAAGCCACAGCAAAAAAACAAACTTGCTGTAGTGGGCAAAAGAAGAGATTTTATAAGGTAAGAGGGGGGGGAGGAGCCAGGGAGGAGAGATGGAGAGGGTGTGGGGGGGGGAGTGGCGATCTGCCGGCTGAGTAATTGTCGCTGCGAGCGCGACACAATGCCGGAGCTGGGCAATGAACGGGCCTTGCCAAGTTTTCGCACCAGGGGGCGATGTTGCTGCGTTTGGTAAGGTACATTTTTAAAAAATTTTGGTTGACGCATGTTGTAGGTGGTGCGGGAGAAGGACCACGAACTTAACACAAAAAGCGGTTCTAAA